TCGTGTTTCTCCATTAATTTCTAGAGACAGTTTAGAAGGGTGTATCAATCTGGGATGGAGGTTATTTTCTTTCAGGACTTGGAATATTTTGCTCCATGCTCTTCTTAACTTGATGTTTCATGTCAAGAAGTCTGCCATTGTTCTGATGGGCCTTCCTTTATAGGTTATCTGTTTCTTGTCTGTAACAGCTTTTAATATTCTATTCTTATACTGAATTTCTGGGATCTTGATTATTATATGCCTGGGTGTAGCTCTCTTTTGGGTGTATGTGGCTATAGTTCTGTATGCCTCATATATCAGAATATCATATCCTTTTCCTATGTTTGGGAAATTTTCCTGAATTATTTCTGTGAATAACTCACATTCTTTATTCTCAAGTTATAGATCCTCTTGTTGTGTTCTAGCCTTTGTATTGTTATTGCTTGCTTCCTTGTATTTTTAAAAAATTTTCCCTTTCATAATCCCACATTAAAATATTGTCCTCCAGTTCAGATACTCTATCCTTAGTTTCTTACAAGCTGATTTGCATCTTTCCATAGAGTTTTTAATTTCCTGGTAATCTCTTTCAATGTGCTTCATATATTCTATTTTTTATGTTCTTTATCAAATGGTTCTCTCCTTTGTTTGTGTTCTTCCCTTCTTCTATCTGTGTCTGCTTGAGGGGTGCTTAATATCTCTTTTATTAGTCTTCTTACATCTTGCTTTACTTGGCTAAATATTTCACTTTTGAACTCGTCTATGAGGTCCTGAATATGTCTCTTTATGTCTACTGGCACCGTGTGTGATATTGCATGTTTGATGTTCTCATTTCCCTTAGTATTTACCCTTCCTGGATCAGTGTTCTCAGGGTTGGGACTTGGGGACTTTTTGTTGTTGCTTCCTCTTCCCATATTTTTTACTTCTTCCAGGAGGCCCCAGTTTCTTTCTTTGTTGGTTGCAATTCTTCTGAAATGCACTTGTTAGATGACCCTTCCCACTGCTGTGTGATAGTGAGTTGCACACGGGGACAGCGTATGCTGGCCCTTCCCCTCTGGGTCATTCATGCTCCTGTGGCCTGCACTGTATTACTTTGCACTGCCTCCCCTCCAGGTCAGTCAAGCTGCTGTAGCCTGCACTGTATTACCCTGTGCTGCCTCCGCCTAGGTCAGTCATGCTGCTGTGGCCTGAACTGCATATTACTTTGCGCCGCCTCCCCTCTGGGTCAGTCAAACTTCTGAGGCTCCACTGGGTTAGTGTGGTTAGTGTGCACCACCACTGTAAGGACTTGATTTCAGATAACTTATTGGGTCTCAGCCAGATCATGTGACCCAGGCCTAGCTCACTCCAACAATCCTGTTTGGCAAGAGAACAACTGACTGAAGTCACTGCTGCCCCTTGTACTTGCCAGTCCTGCACAGCCCCAGAATGTCATCTGCTGGAGCCCCCTTTGTATGCAATGGCTCCCCTCCTGTCACTCACCACAGGTTGATGTAGGTACCCTGTCTACTCAGCTCTCTGTTCAGCTCACCGACCCCCAAACTCAATGTAAGTGTGCCTCCAGTGAGTCAAAGCAGTGGGACCTTGGACAGCTCAGCAAGTCGTGGTGGGACCCTGGAGGTTTGGTAAGTCGCCTGCTGCAGCGGGAACACTGAACCTTTACTGTTCCAATAATAGCACCGGGATTGTATGTTTGGTTGGTTCATCTCAACTCAATTTCTTCTTGGGACAAGAGAATTCATCTCCTTCTATTTGGGACTCCACACACTGTGTTATGTTGAATTCTAAGTTGACTATCTCAGGGAGCATCTGTAGCCAGTTGTTATCTATCTGCCATCTTTGCTCCTTCCCCTCAATCAAAACTTTTTTAAGAAAAAAATTTCTCTTGACTTTATATAAAGTGAATAAGGAATAATATATTATGCTACTCTTTTCTGAGTAATCATAAATCATCTTTTTCATTTCTACTTTTATAACAGATACAGAGCAGCCATGGTCCATAGTTTAAAGGGACATTCTAAATATTAGAATGGCACTATTGAATCTGATTTTTAATGTGCCAGTGTAATTAAAATCAGTGGCTGATATTTCCTGGACTTATGTAAGATGGTCACTGTGGAAAGAAGGTCACTTTCAGACTTTTCCTAAAACCATGAGAAAACGAAGCCATACTGATACCAGTCTGTAAGTACATGGTATGCTTTATGACAGCTCAAGAGCTGCAGTGTATCCTTACATATCTGAGAAACTGAGTTTATGGGAAAATAAGCGAATAAGGATTTTGTAATGTGTGCTTTTATTGTAAATAAAAGGATCTCTAGATGTGCTCATCATCATCATCATCATCATCATCATCATCATCATCTCTCTCTCTCTCTCTCTCTCTCTCTGTGTGTGTGTGTGTGTGTGTGTGTGTGTGTGTGTGTGTGTGTGTGTGTGTGTTTGTGCATTGGGGCTTAAGCCTGGGACATTCACAATTAGCCACACCAGTCTGTTTCATTTCCCAGATTTTGAGACTACATCTCACTGTGCTGTTCACTCGCCCAGCTTCATCTCCAACTGTCTATTCTCCTGCCTCAGCCACCACTGTGTTGTGGTTACAAGTGTGCACCAAGTGTCTTGGATGATTTTACCTTCTGAGTGTGTGTGTTATTTCTGAATACTTCAAGAGGTGGAAAAGTTCACTTATTGGACCTGTCTGGACTCTTAAGGCCCTGTTCCTCATCTGTCTCACAGGAATCAGCAGTAAGTGAAACAGAAGAAAATAATTTCATCTCATCCAAATCCTGTGTATTTGGGGGAAAAGCAATAGAGAAAATGTCTAAGTGGCATCCATCTCGGGAGCAAGGATTCCATTGTTACAGGCTGAGTCTCTATTGGAAGACAGTGCAAAGTTCTCTTCCCCAGTAGGAGAAACCACCCCGACATCACAATTACTGCTCATCAGAGCAACTTTCTGCTAGTAACACTGTGGATCGAGGAAACATTTCTAGCAACTGTCATTTCCAGGTGAACTACTTTGATGTTAGAAAATGTGTTCCCCCGTAAGCTTCCTGGCCCAGTGATTAATCTCCATAAGGGCACTGCTTTCAAAAGGATTGGAAGGAAGATTTTAAAAAATGCTTAGTTTAGCTAGGGAAGTAGGTGTCCTGTTGAAGACAAGTGGAGAAGGGGAAAATGATTGTGCCTTAGCTAATAAGTATGCAGTTCCTGGGCGGTGGTGAATATACTGTCCTAGCTATCTCCACATGGAGATATTAACTGTAAGTCTGAATACATGTTAACATATTTATGTGTGTATTATAAATATTTATGTGCAGAAATGTATCCATATATAAGTATTTATATATTAATTTGTATTTATATACACACATGAGTGAATACACACCTATAAATGTGTACACATAGCTATATATAAATGCATATGTGTACATACTCACTTATTAAGTTAATTAAAATTGTTCTTAGGGAAGTGAGTCCTTTAAAATCTATTTTTGTTTGGGGCATTTGAGTCAGGTTCTCACTTTGTAGTTTAGGCTGGCCTTGAGTTCACTGTGTTGCCCAGGCTAGGATCAAGCAGGTCAGCCACTCATCCTGCTTCCATCAGAAACTGTTGGCTCGCTGCACAGATAGCTTAGAGTTTGGGGTCTCTCTTCAGTTCATTGAATGTGGGTCTGGAAGAGATTTCACTGTTGCCATCATTAACTTCTAATTTGAAGATATGGCACATAATGACTGTCAAGAATGTTGTAGTGATTCTCCATATGTGACTCACCCTGGAGGACAAACTCATTTTAGTGTCTGTCTTGCTGTTTGCTGACCATGTGACACAGGAGTTGCACTCTCTTTGTCTACATAAAGAGTCTGCCCATTCCTCCTGATAAGAAAGGTGACAGCGTTCAGCAGAAAATTAAATGATTGGTGTCCCTTACATCCTTTATTATGGAAGAGTCTTACAGGAAAACTCAGTAAAGACATTCACATTACTTTTTTATTTGTACAGTAAGACTTTGTATGCAATTATGTCTTGAACATTCAAAAGTCATCATTTTACAGTTCTGGAGGTCATAAGTACATCTCAGTCCTTAGTGTGATAGAGCCAGGATGCTGTCAGGATGAACTCACTCTGGACGATCTAGAAGGGAATCTGTGATTCTTCAGCTCCTAGAGGTGTGCCTGAGACTGTGTCCCTTACCTTTCCATCTGTCAGAATTTTATCTCCCGGCCCCTCTCTAGGCTGCTCCTGTGTGTGCTGCCTCCTTGTGTGCTTTCCAGATGTCAGCACTGAAGATCCTCAGTCCACAGGAATTAAGGGTTCCCCAGATATTCTACTTCACAGTCAGTTAATTTCAAATTCAGTTCATTAAAAGAAGTCTGTTTCTGAAGAAGAAAAACTTGCAATGTGCTAACTAATTCCATTCATGCATCCACTTTCAAATGGAAATAAGCACTGACTGTTCTTTGAAGCATAGAAGCGATGAAGATGAGTCTCATGGACCACTTGTAATTGTTGAAGTTCTGCACTGGATCTTCAAGTTGTCTCTCTATGAAGTGGCCTTTCTTTACTTGCTTGGTATGCAGGTGTTTACTGCGATAACAGACATGTTGAATGGTATCAGGTAAAGCACCTGGTGATGTGGGTGGTGCCATGCACAGATGTAATGGGGATGCACCAAGATGAGAGCTTCACCTACACTTGAGAAACCCACAGAATTATGAAAACAAGAATAATTGATATATATTCTACAAAGCTTAAAACAACCTTTTCTATAGAGAAAAACAACAATTCAAATAGTTTGTGATGTTCTCATTACAGGAAAGCTGCATATGAACATGTGAAACATCCAGAGAGTTTATGCAGGGGTAGGCAAGCAGTGAGTCTTAGGTGTGTTTGTGGTGAGTGAACAGAGTGCACCCTGGAATGTCTAAGGATGCTGGACCTGCTCTAAAGACCAAATAGGTTTTTGAAGATGTGTGTGTGTGTGTGTGTGTGTGTGTGTGTGTGTGTGTGTGTATGTATGTATGTATCAAAATCAATAGAAATATGTCCTGAAATGTTTACTTTTCATAAACATAAATTTTAATACTACATAACTATCCTAAAAGGAAAAAAAGTCCCATGACCGTGGATATGCTCTAACACTGAGCTTCTTGGACCCCAGTGCAAAGAAAGTAAAGTATTATGTTATAGATTTCTCATTTGTGGAAGAATTCCTGTTCTTAAATCTGGCTCATTGTTTTTGTAGTGCAAAATTTTGAGGATCATGTTTCTCTCAGGGAATTGCATGGGAGTGTTAAGAACTGAGTTGAGTAATAGTCTTAACTATAATTTCGTAGACAATGCAAAAGTAAGATCTACATGGTATTTTGCTCTACAGTTGGAGACAGTGCATACACAGTGTTAAATGGTGAGACTGGAATATGGACCTGAGCTCATGTGCAAAATCTCATCAGTGGACAGAGTGTGGTCTCCCAACAATGAGCCCTAATGTCACTTGATTTGTGGACTTCCTAAGCCTCGGGTGATGTGAAGGTCCTGAACCTGTCTGAGAGCTGATTAGAGCATTTCAAGAGCTGAAGTCTTCATTTGCTGGCAAAAAACTTAACAATCCTGATGCGTGAATGCTTGAGGGTATCTTTCTCTGGCCAGAGGTTTTCTTCCCAATGGAGGAGGTATGGAGGAGATCTCATCAGATGCAGCATGACATCCCCAGCTGTTCATCTTAGCCATCCTGTGTAAGTCAAGGAATTGTCCCCAGTGCTGTGATTTTTCATTTGAATGTATGAATGATCCATCTCTCATATGAAACACAAAATAATGATAATAAAAATAATTCACCCAAAATAAAGAAATACATGAAATCAGCTATGTTCTTAAAGTTTTCAGTGATTTATTGCTGTGGTCCCCAAGACCCAAGCCTGGTTGCCATCCTTGGCTGCTGAGTTTCGAATCTGGTACAGAACCCTGAACACTCCTCATGTCCTGATCCATGTCCACAGATTCAGAGGAGACTGGTCTGGTGATGGATGAAGATGGGAGCTTTCTTCTATCTGTTTCTTCTGTTTGTGGATATTTAAGAGTGAAGCCAGGCTCTCAGGATCCTAATGAAGCACTCTGCCACTGAGCTAAACCTGCAGTCTTGGAATTGGGACTTTTCTGAGCTCTGCAAAGAGTTCCTGTGTGGTCTGCCCTGCCTGCTCTCTACTGACTAACTGTACATCTTACCAGACCTGCTTTCTCCCAATGTCTGTTCCCTTGGCCTGCTTTTTACCCATGGATTGCTGAATTCTTCTCCTCCTCACTTCCTTGCCAGGTACCATTGCCCCTGCTCATCAGGCTCCCCATTGTGACTCTGACCCTGATGAAAGTGTGGTGGCTCTTTCACTTAGAAGGTGGTATCTGGAAGTGGAGCATTTAATCATGACCATTGTGATCAGGTGCTGGGTTGAGAGCAGGAGTATAAGCGGATATCACAAGATCATTAGCCCACATTAGACACTGGGTTTTGTGTAACATGGAGAATGGTTTGTGTTCTGTACTTGGCTGGGGTAGGGTTGTGTGTGAGGTTGGATTCTTATGACTAGAAGAGCATGTGAGGAAGACAACAGAAAGGATCTTGCACAAAAACTGTTCTGTGTGAGCCTGTTTTCAATAATTGGACAGATTAAATGTACAGAGCTTCCTCAAATATCTGTGCTTGGTGGAAAGACAGCCTGTTTAACAGATAGCATTAGGAAAACTGGCTACACAGTGAGAATATTCAGCCTAAACCTGTATTTCTCATCATACAGTAAAATATAATAAATATGAATCAAAAGCCTGGACTTTAATACAGAAGCACTTAATCTTCAGGTAGATAATAATATAGATAAAATTTTGAGGGCATAAGAATAAATAAAGCCTTTTTGAACAGAACCCCAGTGTACCAGAAATAACAAGAAACAACAAATTAAATTATATTAAATTAAAATGCTTCTGTGTAGTTAAAGATGCAGCTGAAAGAGTGAAAAAACAAAATGTAGAACGAGGAGAATTCTTTGCCCCATGCTCATTAGGAAGGAGATTAATACTGACAACATGTAAAGAACTCTAAAATAAACAGACCTCCTAAATAAGAGTCAATCAAAAATGGGTAAATGAAAGGGCCAGAGAGTTTTTAGAAAAAGAATAATAAGTTTTTAGAAGAAGAACAATAAGTTATTAGAAGAAGAAGAATAAATGGTAAATATATAAAGAAATTTTCAGTATTACCAGCTCTGAGAAAAATGCAAATTAAAACAACAGTGAGGTTACATTTTCTCACAGGAAAAATGGCCATCCTATAGAAATCAAATAACACGAAATATTGGTGAGGCTGTGGGGAAAAATACACTCTTCTGTTTGGTTGGTAGAGATGGAAACTAGTACAACCAGCATGGATCTCTATATGCAGAGCCTGCAAAAACCTAAAAATAGAAATTCAGCTTGACTCCACTCTTCTGGTTCTAGTTATTTTCCACAAAGGGTTCAGGACATCTAATTACAATGATTCATTCACAGCCATGTTCAGAGCAGCACAACTTATAAGCACTCAATATTGGATGCAGCTCATAACTATGGACAGATGAATGGATATAAAGAAGTGTACTTACACAGTGGAGTACTCCCGAGCCATAAAAATGAATGAGTCATTTGTACGAAAATGAATGCAGCTTGAGACCCTTATGTTAGATGAAATATATCAACACACAACCGTACATATCCCATTGTTTCTCTTAGATGTGAAATCCAAAGTATTAATAGATTAAATAGCAAAATAAGACAGATAATACAAAATAAGCTGCTAAATGCTCTGCAAATTGATAGGGAAACTAGAGAGACAGGGAAGAGAAGATAAAGGTTGCAAGAGGAATTAAAAATAATTAAAATGTGTTATGTACATAATGCCAACTACCCACACTGTACATAGAAGTACAGCAAGTGCACATTAATAAACATAACATATGACAATACAAGCTTAGACCTAAAAACATTCCACAAAGTGTTTAATGTTCTACCTATTAAATCACATACTTATTTTCTTGATCCTGGCTTGATGACCCGGTGTATAGGAGAGTGTAAGTGCTACCCAGGCGGAGGGGATACCAGGAAGCAGGAAAGGATGGCGACAAAATAAGGATCATTCAACTTCTCTCATGTCAACCCCAATATGTGATGAGGCAGAGTCACAATTTAGATGCTCACCTTTGCCTTGCTACATTGATGAGAGAGATGTCACAGGACTAAAGTTTCTTTTAGCCAGGATCTTTAATCACCATGGAGTCAGTAAGACTAGGATCCCTTCAAGAAGCATCACTTCTCGATGATCCATGGAGTCTCAGGAGCTCACTATTGCCAGCCCTCAACTTTGCTATTCTGAGATGCAGGAAGCTCTCCAGGAGCTGCAGACAGGCTGAGAGAAGCATGGTCACCATATACCCATTGGATTATCATGTGGCATAAAGAAGGTGCAATATCGATTATAAATCATGAGACACTACAATTTAATAGTCATTTTAGGCTAAATTTATTGTGTGTCTTGTTTGGCTTTATCCATTTTCTTTAAAAAAAATACCCAGAAATTTGAGGGCTCAAAGGAACCCCTGGAAGAGAGTTTCAGCCTTCTCTCTGTGTCAGAGGCCTCAGCAGAGCACAGGTTTTGGCTGCTCTGCTGTTTTCCTCACTCTCAGACCTGGGCAGAGGCCTCAGCTGCAACTTATTGTTCTGATTCTTCAGTCTCTTCCTCTCATGCAGAGCAGCCTGTGCTGTGGGTCTCCCCAGGCAGGGAGCTTTGTGTTTGGTGCTCTAGCACTGTGGGATGAATATATAAATCTTGCATACAATAATAAACCCCATCATCCTCAGCCTCCACCCTGCTGATATTCAGTGTGAAATCTGTTCCTGACCCACTGCCACTGAACCTGTCTGGGGTCCAGGATAACTTTTTGGAAAACAAAAAAATTATACACCTTGGAGCCTGGCCTGGCTTGTGCACCACCCAATTCAAATAGGTGTTTCCATCACTATGTAGGAGGCTCTGATTGAACCTGCAGGAGATGGAGGTTAGCTCTCCAGGGCCACAGACACAGAGAGTGGGGTCTGGGTCATGACAACATCTCCTGTGGATCCTAAAATGATGAAGGAGAAGTGAAATATCAGGAAGGAACATTACGAGCCATTTTGATAGATTTCTGTTTTCTCATTATCAAGTGAAGTTAGTATCTTTATTTTAAAGTGCAGTGGAAAATTTTCAAATTTGAGATTGTATCCAAGGTTTTTAATCACAAGGTTCCCTCTAGAATTCATCTGTGCACCCCTCTCTTTCTTTGAGGCAATCTTCATGAGAGGCCTGGTCCTCAGTCCTTCAGGAATTTCCTTCCCTCACTGATCTAAACTCACACTCCCATGCTTCAAGTCAGGGATGTGCATCTCATGTATGTACTGAACTTAGCCAGGCAGCAGATGAACCCCAAAACTCACCCCCTCTCTCCATGCCCCTCCTCATCTCCTGGTGTCCTTACCAATGATCCAGAGCAGTAGCAGCCCCAGGAGCTGAAGAGGGAGCCTCATTATGAGAACTGGGACTGAAGCATCCTAATCAGGTAAGGCAAAGCTAGAGCCAGATTTTATGTGAGACTTGCCAGGGAATGTCCTCCCTGGGGCAAAATGAAAATTCCCTGGTGGGTGCAGTGGTGCAGAAAGAGTGAAGAGCATGGGGGGAGGCTTCTCATGTGAGCCCAGTGGTATAAAATCTCTTCTGTATTTGGAGGAAAACAATAGAGCTACAGTCCATGCTGTGTGCAGCAGTGGGTACAAGGAATTCTTGGAAAACCTGTGTCTCCATAAGGGACACAGTGTTTAGGGCCGTGCCCATTCCAGACAGGACTGTGGTCCCCAGGATACAGAGATATGTGCAGATCACTCTCTGGGAGGGGAAAATTCATGTTTCTTAGCCTGCATCTTTTGTCCATGCGCATGTGCAGTTGAGATCTGTTTGTGATGAGGTAAGCCTAAGCAAAAAGTGCTTCAGGGAACCTGCAAAATATACGAGGTGCCAGATCTGTCCTGTACCTGAAATACAGGGGTAAATATACACCTGTGATTTCCAAACCTAGAATAAGCTAAGGGGAACCTTCCCTCACTGATGATTACCTTGGCGATGACCTGTGTGGTGCACAAGATGATTCCTCACCATTCTCTTGGCTGATTGCTGTTCTGTTATGGCAAGCAAAGCAGCAATAGGCAGATTGGGACAGTCAGATTTTGAGTGTGTGCGTGTGTGTGTTTGTGTGTGTGTGTGTGTGTGTGTGTGTGTGTGTGTGTCTGTGTGTCTGTGTAGTTTTTATTTTCAAGATAACATGGTAGAGAAGATTGAGGATAGTGTGTGGTGACTGTAAGACAGAAATTGTTTGAAATATCTGGAAACTATCACTCCAGTGATGATAAAGAACACACATTTATAGCATGTGATACCTTCCTGTGGCCACTTGGAATCCCTTCCCATCCTCTCTCCCATATGGTTCTTCGCCTTTTCTCAATATGAGGAAGGTGCAGCCTTTCTGCACATAGTCTTTTCCTTGTTTGAAGGCCAAATACAATCAGTGTGACCTTGTCAATGATAGGGAAAAGACACAGCCCAGCACCTCAGTCCACACCATGTGAGAGAGTGCACTTGTGCTGGACTCAGGAATGAACCACTTGAAACTTCCAGCTGAAC